TTTATCCAACTTGGGGGTTTAGGTCCCCATAAGGTCCCTCACATGAGTAATATGCAATCCACAAAAATGATCGCTTAATGACATAACGCTTTTGAAGCGTCACTCCAAGCAGATTTTTACCATGAACCAATACACCCCACGCGAAATAGTTGAAATTTACATTCAACAGAAGAAGTCAATTGTGAAAACTCAACGTGCTTTTGAAACATTAAAAAATGTGAGAAGTGCGCCTTCTAAGAACACCATTAAGCGTTTATACGAAAAATTTTCGACTGGTAAGGCTCTTTCTAATTCGAAGAGGCCATATAAAAATCGACCAAGGCGATCGGCCGAGAATATCGCTGCCGTACGAGACAGTGTTGGGAGGTCCCCAAGAACATCCCGAAAACGCCGTTCTCAGCAGTTGGGCATGGCTTGGTCCACTTTACAACGGATTATTCGCATTGATTTGATTGACGCAAAGAATGTTGCCTGCGGACAAGCCTCGTCGATTGGAATGGGCCCAAAGAGTCATCGAAATGGCCGAAGATGACGACATGGGTCCGTCGAATTGAATTTATCGAAGAAACAAGTACTTCAAATTTGGTGAGAATCTTAGGTGAGCTAAGATTGAAAAACTTCCTTTTAGGCAAGACCCTGCAAAAATTTTCATAGATTGAGAACAGTTTTTTTTCTATTGGAAACAATTATTATAGGCGGAAATGAGAATAGATACGTTTTTTTTTTTTTAAAGAAATTTCCAAAATAACTGATTGTAATTTTTCTATTGAAAAAATCCTCAAAATGACAGGATGGATTTTTTCTATAAAAAAAAATGGAGAAACGATTTTAATTGACTAAAATTAAATTACTCCTCAAAGCTAACCTCACTAATCGACGAAATTTTTACCGACAAAAATTAAAAAAAAATTTGTTTCAATTGAAAAAGCAACTGAGAAATATTTTCTTAAGAACCGATTTTCCCCAATATTTCAGAACATTTTTTTTTTAAGAAAAAAACATCATATATTGATGTCTGATTTTTTATAAAAACTTCAGGCAGTAAACCGCTCTCTGTTTTTGGTAACCTTCTCCATTTGCCGACAATCGCAAATCAAATCTGACACCAATAAACTTGTCTTTTCCTTTCAATGACTACCAAAAAATGACTAAGACATGAGTGCTTAAAGCAACCTTCTCATAACAATACCGTCTGCACAGCAAATGAAATCCCAGAAATGCAGTAAAATATTATAAACACATAATATGTTTATTAAATTTTTGCAAAATACTTTTCTTTACACCCAGGACCCAGTCTGGCAGGATAATTTCACTTTTAATGAAATAACCACATGTGTAATTGACACCTTTGATGCTCGAGAGAGTAGAACAACAACAAAACATCGGGTTTAATTAACTCTTTGGGTGTTTCTAAAGGTTGTTAATCGATTGGTTTTAGTTGAAAAGAAAAGAAAAGTAGGGAAGATATCCACTGAACGTGTTTTCAGATTTCCCAAAAATGTAAGTATGAAAGAGATAGTAATTATTTTAATAACTAGCTGACAAACATAGGCCCCTGTGTTAGGCAGAATTAAGAAAATGGTATTCATACCTTAGCAATATCATGAAATAAATATTGGTCCACCATTTCGTATAGCTGCAATGTCTGGAGTTTTCCCCAATTCTCTTAACTTCATATTAAACTCTGCAAGAGATCAATGATTTTCAAGACGAAACTGACAGTTTTGCAATATTTGCTGATCGCTTCCAATATCTTGATTTCATCCCGGCTAAGGGAAAGGTCACTTGGCTTCTCATTTTTTTTTGTCTCGCTCTATAAGTGTCAACATTCACAAGTGATTCTCACACTCACTTCTTGCTTTCATCGTCGGATTTTCTTAACATTTTTCTATCTAATCTTTCTATATCTGGAATTTACCTTTTTCCGCCAAAAAGTCTTCAACGTTTTTCATTTTGAAATTTACGGAGGAGGCAATTAATACTGCCATTGCACAATGGACCCGCATTCTGCCCAAAATCGTTGCAAAGTCTCCATATGTGACCTCAATCAAGTTTCAGAATTTTATCCCTATCTCGTCAATCAAGACCAAATTTATTATCATTTAGTACGCAAACCCAAAGCATCTTACAACTCCTTTTCCTAGACACCAAAAATGATCCAAAACAAGTTAAAAAGTGTCAGTCGGTTATGCCGACCGATGTATACCCTCAGCCAATTTTCGCTTATTTTAATATATTTTGACAAAAGAGTTGGATGCTTATTTCGTTTTCTGTTAGCGTTTTGTTTTTCAAATCTTGAATTCTTTGCTGAGGAGATACCAGATGAAATTGTCCGATCTCTATCATCTTTACAAAAGATATTGTGTTGATGAAAATATTGACCTGTGCCAAGTTTGAATGGAATCGAATGTTAATTTCGCGTTTTATGAGCTTCATGGCTGTTCAAAATTTTAATACTTTGTGGTACCAGATGAGAGGACCGATATATCCCATCTTCACAGCAGATCTTGTGTTAGTAGAAATAATGGGATTTGTGAATTTTATGGTTGTTTTGGTTATTCAAAACGTTAACGCTTTGTGGGGGAGGTACCAATAGGAATGGTCCAATCTCTACCATTTTTATTACAGATCTTGCGTTGATGGAAATGAGATGTACCAAGTCTGAATGGAATCGGATTTTAATTTCGCGTTTTATGAGCTTCGTGGATATTCAAAGTGTTGACCCTTTTGTGGGGAAGGTACCAGAAGGAGTGGATCGATATATTCAATTTTCACGCCAGACTTTATATTAGTAGAAATAATGGATCTGTGAGATATGAAAAGGACAGAATGCATATTTCGGGGCCAGAAGTAATGGTCCGATTTCTACCTGGGGAATGCATCAGAAGAAACGGTCCGATTTCTACCATCTTTATAACAGATTTTGTGTTGAGATAAATATTGAAATCTGCCAAGTCTGAATGGAATCGTATGTAAATTTCGCGTTTTATGAGCTTCGTGGATATTCAAAATGTTGACCCTTTTGTGGGGGAGGTACAAGAAGGAGTGGACCGATATACTCCATATTCACACCAGACCTTGGGTTTATAAAAATATTGTTATGCGGGTATGTTGAAGACAATCGAAGTCTTGCATCACGTTTTATAAACGTTATATATTTTGACATCTTCTTGGTGGAGGTACTTCATGGAGTGGACCGATATTGTCCATTTTCCCACCTGACCTAGCACTGATCCATATATTACTATTCGCAATGTTAAAGCAAACCGGAATTTAACTGCATCAATCGTGCACCATAGTATAGAGGGTATATTAAGTTTGTCATTCCGTTTGTAACATCTCGAAATATGCATTTTAGACTCCACAAAGTATATGCCGATGCGATGCTCGCCCGCCTGTCCATTTAATGATACCCTTTTTTTTAGCGACATAATTCACCGGAAATGTTTCATATTTGGTATTTGAAGTTCGTAATGGATAGTACAGCCTAAGACAGAAAATTGTCAGTACATTTCCACGTCTTCGTATAGGCCCCATAAACGGGACCTTCCGATATTCGGTATTTTGATGATTTTGGCGACATTATTCAATTGTTTCAAATCTGGTGTTTGAAGTTCGCAATGAATACTACTGCTTAAGACAGAAAATTGTCTGTGCATGTCCACATCTTCGTATAGCGATATTCGGTATTTTGATGATTTTAGCGACGGTATTTACCGGAAATGTTTCAAATTTTGTATTTGAAGTTCGTATAGGATAACCCTTTCTCTTTCTGTGCGGAATTTTTTTTTTTTTTTTTTTTTTTTTTGAAATTGTTGACCTTTTGTAGGCGATGTACCTGAAGGAGTGGACCGATATTGCCCATCTCCGAACTGGATCTAAGTTTGATAATAATATAAGGTTGCACCAAGTTAGGACCAAATCGGATGCTCCCTTCGAGAATTATCTTACGCATCAACCAGAGAGACAGACGGACGGACATCGCTAGATCGACTCTAAATGTCCTAAAACAGACTTAGGCCAAAGAGACCCGTTATGTCGACTAGGCACGTTTGACCGTCCGTCTGTCTTTCTGGCTGGTGCGCGAGATAACTCTGGAAGGGAGCCCTATAGTTAAGGGTATATTTACCATTTTGTTTTAACACCAAATCCCAACAGAGACCTTAATATCGAGATTCCAGCACCATTCAGCTTTTCGTATAATTTCAGTACTCATATGCCAAACCCACCTCCAAATCTCATCTCAGTTATCTAAATATCAAATTTCAATCAAATTTCCCAATACCAAATACAGTACCATTTAGAATTGTTCCTACAATTATAGTACACATAACCACCTCCATATGTCCTGGCTACACATGAATGCAAGCAATATCTGTTCACTCTATACATTGGTACAATAAGGAGGTAGGAAATCTTCGTAAAACTACAGAAATCCAGCCCTGACGCCATGTTGCTTCCTGTCAAAATTACATACAACAAATTTTCATTTATTCGATATTTTTCCTCCTTTTTTAAAATGAGTCAAATAGCTCAAACAAATAATAAAATGCCTGGATTTTCTTTCAAAAACAGTTTGATCTTTTAGTTCCATTGCAAAACTGCAAATAGCTTTAAACCGCGTTCCGCAAAGTGCATTTCTACCAATCTTTGGTCTTGAAAATATTTTGTTTTTATTTTTCAAATCAATAAATACATACGCAAAATCGGCAGAAGTCGGTCACACTTAGAAAAAAATTGTAATCAACTGGAAGCTCTACCATACCTTTTTATTGTACCATGTCCTATACCAAATTTGGTACCATTTCTACTGTAGCGTTTTTACTGTTTTTATTTTTCAATTTTTGAAATTACACCAAGTATGTAGGGATTTTCTATTCTGAAAAAAATTATTTATATTTTCATTCTGTCAAATCTATATTTAATTTACATACATACATTTGTGCAAATATATTTTTATATAATTATATATATTTTTAAAATCAAAAATTGTAAAACTTCTTTAAAAATAAAATTACCTGTTTTCTGGGCTCTGCATTGGAATCAAGAATAAACTGAAAATCTAAACCTCCTACATCATGAAGATGGATCCGCATTACGTCGTGACTGCTAACAAATAAAATGAAATTGAATGAAAGATTACTAATTGAAAGTACATTGAATTGAATGAAATACGCATTTAAATGGCTTCCCTTAAAAGATTAAGACATCCTCAACTGTTGTCGCAAAAGACACTGGATTCCCATCCTCATCTCTCAACCATGTACCACCATCCTCCATTCAATGTGCTTTCAAAATGTAATCCCCCTTTAGAAAACGTCTTGACTTTAGCTTTTGCTCTTTTCAGCCACTGCCGAATGCTGTTCTCTTACAATTCGTTCGTTCAACAAAGTGGGAGGGACACAGGAGTAGCAGGCGTCGAATCAGGTAACACTTCCGTTCTTTTAATTTGAATTACATTTCGTTTAGCCAACACAAATCTTTTCTTTCTGCCTTTTGTGTGGGGTCTGATGAATATAATCTCAAAATAGTTACTTAGCCAGTTCACTTCCTCTGTTGTAGTCGACACGGTTTGATAGTAGCTTAACTTTTATTCCATTCAAGGCACAAATAAATCTCTTTTTGTGGCAAATGTTGCACTTTTGTGTGTGGCAGCAAGGACTGGGGGATAAATGTTGAAATGGTGGATATTTCTTTTTCAATGGCATTGAATATTGGGAGTATTCAGTTTATTTTTCTGAATGGTGTTTGCCATTCTGTTTTTTGGTATTGTAGTCTCTAAAGACCAGTTTTATTTATTTTCTTATATATATTATATATTCTTATACCTAAATTTTTGAGTTTTTTTTTATTTTATTTTGATAGCGGTTTAGTGTTAATTCATTCAGTCATGTATTTCAAAGCTTTAGAGGCTTTTACACGCCATGGATCAGCCATTCAATTGTGAGTAGGTGTGCGTGTGTCACAGTATCAAGGATGAACAAAACGATTTGCATTAAATATTTAAAAACTCGTTTTTGGAAAACGTTTTGATTGCCAACTCAAGAAATTTGATATTTATAACACTAAATACCGAAAGTGTTAAATATTACATACATTTATAAATTTTAAATCAAATGTCCAATGCTATAACTGTACTTTTCTTAAGAACTTATTTTTGTGGATTTTAAGAATTATTTTTTCAACTTTCAGACTCACAATCCGTGTATTTTCAAGAACAATTTCTAAATCTATTTTTACGCACTGCAGATCGTGGATTTTTAAAGAGTACTTTCCTATAGCATTTGCATATAGTATATATTTTATATTTTTAAATAATAATTTAATTATTTAATATATCGTCGACTTTCTTATGGACTTGTAAAGAGTGTCTTCGTTTACCTTTTAAGGAACTATTGTTGATTTTTCGAATCGTTTTTCTTGACCTCCAGTGGCACAATTTGTAATAATATCTTAACGATCTGTACGTAGGAACTTTGAGAACATTGCTATAAACCTTATACGACAATGATCGTTAATTTCAAATGATTATCTTTCATTGAAAGTCGCAAAACACATTCGAGAGATTTTAAAAGAAATTCTAAACGACCGTCTTCTATTTAAGTCCGTGAATTTTATAACCATTTGCCGTTAATACCTTCATTAATACAGCATATCTAACGAATAAATTTTCCCGGATTTCTAAAAAAAATTCACGTACATCAGGGGCAACAAAAACTCTTTTAAAAAAAATAACGGAATATCGGAGACAATTATCGACTTTAGTGAATTTTTTGAGAATATTTGTCCAAGGCAGTGCTAACATCTTTTTACCCCATACGTCCTTAAGATCTTCTAAAGGCAGTAGAGGACCTCAAGGTCTTCTATAGGCAGATATACTAAGCAAAAAAGGCCTCAAGGTCTTCTATGGGCAGTAGAAGGCCTCAAGGTTTTCCATGGGCAGCAGAAGACCTTATGTTCTTTAATAAACAGTAGAAAAACTCACGTTCTTCTATAGACAATAGAACACATCAAGGACTTCCACTGACTAGGCCTTCTACACCTCAAGGTATTTTATGAGCAGTAGAAAACATGAAGGTCTTCTATGAGCGATAGAAGATCTCAAGGGTTCTATGAACAGTAGAAAACCTCAAGGTATTATATAGACAATAGTAGACCTTAAGGTCTTCTATATGCAATAGAAAACCTTAAACTCTTCTATAGACGATAGAAGACCGCACGCTCGTCTATAGACAGTAGAATAACTTCATGTCTTCTAAAGACCGCAAGGTCTTCTATATTCAGTAGAAGACCTCAAGGTTTCTATGAGCAGCAGAAGACATGAAGGTCTTCTATAGACAGTAGAAGACCTCATGGTCTTCTGTAGCCAGTAGAAGATTTCAAGGTTTTCTATAGACCCTACAAGTCCTCATGTTCTTCTATAGACCATAGAAGACCTCAAGGTCTTCTATACGCAGTAGACCTCAAGGTCTTTTATAGACAATAAAAGACCTCATGTTCTTCTATAGACGGCAGAAGACCTTAAGGTCTTCTGTAGACAGCAGAAAACCTCAAGGTTTTCTATAGACTGTAGAAGTCCTCATGTTCTTCTATAGGCCATAGAAGACCTCAAGGTCTTCTAAAGCGAGTAGACCTCAAGATCTTCTATAGACAGTAGAAGACCTCATGTCCTTCTATAGACCATAAAATACTTCAAGGTCTTCTATAGACAATGGAAGGTCTTCTACAGGCAGTAGAACAGCTCCATGTCTTCAAAGACAATAAAAGACCTAATGGTCTTCTACAAGCTGTGTAGAATATTAAGATCTCCTATTGGCAGTAGAAGACCTCAATGTCTTCTATGGGCTGTAGAAGATTTCAAGGTCTTCTAGAAGACTTCAAGGTCTTTTATGGCCATAGAAGACCTCAAGATCTTCTGTAGGTAATGCGAGACCTCAAGACCTTCTGTAGGCAATGCAAGACCTATAGGCAATAGAAGACCTCATGGTCTTCTATAGACAGTAGAAAACCTCAATGTCTTCTATAGACAGTAGAAGACCTGAAAGAAGACCCCCAAAGTCTTCTAATGACAATGGAAGACATCAAGGCAATATAAGTTAAAGGTCTTCTAAAGACAATATAAGAACTCAAGGTCTTATTTAAGCGGAATAAGACTTCATGATCTTCTTTAAGGCAACAGAAAACCTCAATGTTTTTTCAAGAGAATTAAGATCTCAAGGTTTTCTAAAGGCAGAACGCTTCTATAAGCAGTGGTAGACCTCAAATCCTCTACAGGCAATTGAAGACTTCTAGTCTCCTCTTTAGACAATAAAATATAACTGAAAACCATTAGACATATTAATGTCATATTTTAATCTGTCTTTTGATATTATTTTTGCATATTTACAGCTTTTAATTAAAACAGCCATTTGTAAATTTATAGAAACTACACGCATTATTGTCCTATCGCACAGTAATCAAACATAAACTATGTCTGACATTATCCGTTCACTCAGCTCATATCTTGAATAGAGCGAAAACCAACAAGTGTCCAATACAGAAGGGCCTTTCGCTTTATATTTCCTCTCCGAGTCGACATGAGGTGGCTGGTGATATTTCCTGGCAGCTCGAATGAAGTCGTATGGTATGGGTTCAATATTTCCTAGCCATCAAATGCGAAAGTGATACATACTCACAAATATTTCTTATATACATATTCAATTAATATACATACATTCATTAGATTACAAATATACACAATAATTTTTTTGGATTTCCCCTTGTGTGTGTGTGTGTGTGTAAAGAGGAAAATCATACATAAATTGTAGGAATATTATCTCGTGTTATGTCCATCTCTGCCGGACTTAACAATTGTGTTGTAAACTTCCTACAAAGTGTCACACATCTGAAAACTGAAATGAAAGGCAAGGCACTAAATGATGATGTCGACGTCCTCGTCGACAACATCCGTTTAGTTTTGTGTCATTTGATAAGGATACCGGACAAATGAGGAAACGGCAAACACAACGCCAAGACTTTAGTCTCAAACTCCATAGTTTTGGATTTCAACCTTCGGAGTGGGTTCTCCTTCCCCCTCTCTAATTTGGTAAACGAAAACACGTGTTTAGTGCTTCTCACAATAAGACTTTGTATTTTGTTTCAAATTCCAATAAATGCAACAATTTCATAAACTCACACACAGAACTATCTGCAATGTTTTTCTGTTACCTTGTTTGTTGAATGAGATCCTCTTAACTTGGCTAGATGCAAACTGCAACTCATTTGATTCAATGAATTTTGGAGAATGTGAGTAATAAAGTCATGTACTTCCACTTTGGGCGACATGTCTTCAAGATTTCTAAGCAACGTTCAAAAGGACAAGCAAAATTTTTGCTGTTTAGAAGATGAAACGATAAAGTGTCCAACACGCTTGTAACCCAGTAAAATTGTTTTGAAAAAAAAAAATAGAATATATTCCAAGGTTAAAGGATGTATTGTAGGCCCTACATAGGTTATATATACAAGGTAGGGTATTATAGACAGTCTTCAGGTCCTTTCCAGATCTCTGAAAAGAAGACCTTCTACAGGTGTTCCATATAAACCCTTCAACAAATCTTTTGATGAATAAACAACATTGGAAAGTGGTCCTTTCAGTGTTTTCCCTGAATAACGACCTACTACAAGTATCTTTATAGATCGGAAACCTTCTGCAAGTCATTTAAAAAAAATCCTTTTTCAAATATTTTAATAGAAAAACAAATCCTAGAATTATTTTATAAAGATAAACCCCGCTAAAAGCCTTTTATGTGTGAAAGTAGTTTTAAAGGCTCTAAATGGATGGACGATCTTTAATAGCTATCCTGTGGAAGGACAACAGGCTTAAGTTGAGTTCAGGGGCTATGCTTAGATTAACCTGCGAATTTAATAATATTTAAGTATTTTTAGCCAGATTACGCAAAATAATCTTTTCGGGGAAAATACCCGATTACCCGGATTCTCTCCGGTTCTACAAAACTGAAATGTTCTCGAGAAGAATATTTTCTGTAGACAGTATAATACCTCAAGATATCCTCAGGCAATAGAAGACCTCAAGGTCTTCTATAGGCATAAGAGACCTCAAGGTCTGCTATAGGCAATAGAAGACCTCAAGGTCTTCTATAGACAATAAAACACCTCAAAGTGTTTTGTAAACAATAAAAGAGCTCAAGGGTTCTATAGACAATAGAAGACCTCAAGGTCTTCTATAGACTATAGAAGACCTCAAGTCTTCTATAGACAATAGAATACCTCAAGTTCTTCTATAGACAATTGAAGACCTCAAGTTCATCTATAGACAATTGAAGACCTCAAGGTCTTTTACAGACAATAGGGGACCTCAAGGTCTTCTACAGACAACAGAAGACCTCAACGTCTTCTATAGACAATAGAAGACTTCAAAATCTTCCATAGACAATAGAAGACCTCAAGGTCCTCTATAAAAAATGGAAGACCTCAGGTCTTCTACCTCAAGGTCTTCTACAGACAATAGAAGACCTCAAGGTCTTCTATAGACAATAGACGCCCTCAAGGTCTTCTATAGACAATAGAAGACCTCAAGAACTTCCACAGAAAATAGAAGACCTCAAGATCTTCCATAGGCAAAAGAAGACCTCAAGGTGTTCTATAGGCAATAGAAGACCTCAAGGTGTTCTATAGGCAATAGAAGATCTCAAGGTGTTCTATAGACAATATATAGTCTCAATCTGACATCTCTTATAATTCCGAAGATATGAGTGATAGATATCATAAAGTTGTGATTCACTTTCGTTCGAACATTTGAGTCGAATAACCTGGTAACCGGGTAGTTCCCCACGTTAAAATTACTTTCCCGATATCAGGTTAAAAATACCTACCAGTTATAAAAATTTTCAAATGATCCGATCATAGGCCGTGAACTCAACTTGATCCTAAAGATCTTATACTGATGTTTTATCGAATGCGTATATTCTTCAAGTCTTCTCTCAAAGATGCCGTTTTGCTGATTTATTATAGATACCTGTTCTTCTAAAAATTCTTTTTGGGTTAATAACTTCTTAGTTTGAGAACGTGTAAAGAGGCGAATGGTCGACGCTTTCTGCTTTTCCTTAACGCATTTTTACATAGAATACGTTTTAATGGTCTTCTGTGTTTATATAACCCATTACAAATTTAGTCGAGACTGAAGCTCCTTAACATGTCTACTGAAGACTTGTTTATTCAATGAAAACTTTTTTTGGCAGCATCTTAAAATTAAAGTTATTCAAGGAGCTCA